CTATTTCATCGATTATTTACCAACGAGTTGTGGTTTGAGTTGGGAGCAATGCGACTAAAACAGTAATTGAAATTCAGCACACTATTTTTAAAACGCGTTGCTTGCATAAAAGTGACCAGACACATTCAATTTACCAGACTATTGAACAACTAGGAAAAGTGAAAAAAATACTTCTTATCGCCAGCATAAATGCGTAATTATTTTTTTTACAGAAAAAGTAATTTTTCACCTTTGATTAAGTAACGGGTCATAGAATGCAGATACGGGCATGGCAAACACACCTTTGCAAAGCTTGAAGTCTGGCGATTCCAAAAATATATACTTTCCTGGGTCTATTTGTAGTCATTTGGTCACAATTAGAAGATGAAAACAAGTATGCAAATAATAGTCCCGCTACCTTAACTGTCGCAGTTCTAAAGCATAGCACTCTCTATTGATTGTTTGACCCTTTTGCAAGTAGTCAATCATGATGACTCCCTTGCAGAACACAGAGGCTATCACCCTGCCAGGAAGGAAGTTGCCAGGATTTGACAGTAAATGGTCCAAAAGCGTCCTTGAAACTTCCAACCTGTTCAACTTCTGATGTGGAGTCAACATTCGGGGCACCCACCATGCAGACAGCTTGCTCAATGCTCATCCCCAAGATGTTCGACAAAACATTTTGAACTGCGCTGTAACTGATGCCTAGTGAATGCCTGATATGTCAGATAGTGACTCGTCTGCCATTCATTACTATGGGATGGATGGCCTCAACCTGAATGTCCGTGGTTGCAGATTTTGGGCGTCCAGACCTTGGGTCATCTTTCATGCTCTCCTTGCCTCGCTTAAAGTTAGCAACCCACTACTTTACAGTGGAATAAGAAGGGAAGTCTTCACCGTGTTATGACCATGTCTTCGTGGACTTCTGTGGGAGTCATCCCCTTTTTATAGAGATACTTGATCACTGTGGTAATTTCTGTATACTGATTGTAAAGAATCCAGTAATGACCCAAGTGCAAATCAAATCAAAGTTTGGGGATGATTAAGTTAAACTCTGTCTGGGCCCAGCCTTTGAATATCGGTGCTATCAGAGGCCAGGTAGTGGCAAACAAATTGGCATTGTGCATGGTTATCTAAAAACCCAGTTGCTTATTCTGATATACTTGTCTGACAGCATATGAGATGGTACTGATCAAGGTTGGCAGACAACCCACCCAGTTGCATCAGAAGGTTAGTTTGTAAATTGATGAGGACTGTACACTAGAAATGACACGTCATCATGGTGACATTGAGAGTTTCTTGACAGCAGCAGAAATGGAGAAAATGCATACACATCAAGGTTGTCCCATGCAAGACCAGCAGGGTTGCAAACAGATTGATAGGTGGTTATTATAAGGCCACAGTTCATCACAGAAATCAAGGTTATGATGTTTCATCAAACTGGCAGTCTATTAGAGCCAATCAACCGTAGTGTTATGAATCCCTTGATGTTAGGATCTCCAACATCAAGTGGTGGGCATGTGCCCTCCTTTTTATGTTGCCACACGTAAAGAAAACGTACTGCCTTAAGGCAGAGATGCAGGTTCGTGGGCACTTGGGAGTGAAATTTTTTTTTTTTGCTTTTTATTATCCAAAAAGTCTTGGCTATAGACTGTTGAAATTTTGTAAAATTGTGAATAGTGGAACATACTCAAAAAACGATTTCAAAATATAGATAACAGGTGCAAAATTATCTCTTTTGAATGCTTAGTATGATTTACCAAGGCTGTACATAAATAATAAAAAAAAAAACATGGTGAAAAAAAGAAATGACGGGATCTCCATATTATGCACTGTATTTAACTTTTTACAAAACGATAATACATTTAAATTTGAAACTGTAACAGCCATTTTAATTATGAGCATTAGCAAACTTCTTACTGAGTAAAT